TTTTCCAATTACGTCTATAAAAGGGCGTTTATTATCTTTTAATTCACTTCGTTTCTTTGTAGGAGTTAAATACTGTTATCATTTTGTCTATTTATCGACTTCTTTTTGTAATAAGCGACTAAATGCATTTGGCGTAATAATTACAACTTCTAAAGACTAATTTAATTTACATAACGTGATACCGTTCGGTTTTTAATCGTGATAATTGATTGAGTGGCTGTGAATAAGTTTTTACGCGTTTAAAAAGTACGAGTGAAATTTCGTAGGGTGACCTCTGTATAAGAAATTGAAGAACTTTCTCGATAGGATAGATTTTGCAAGGAGATTGTTCAAATCCAATGTGAAATAGAAGAATTGATGTATAAAAATTTAAAATCTTTTTATAAATTGGAGGTGGGTTTTATATGAAACCATTGTCATATGAATAATATTACCCCATGATATGTTACATGTGACGTATATTTTTAAAGTAAATATTTTTTATTTTTTCTAAGATTAATTCAACTGATTCACCTGAATGGAGATATCTATTTATCTCAAAGTACAGGTAATAAATTGCAACTTGGCCCATTTCATGACATTTTAAATTTAAATCCCAACGTCTTTGGTCCCACCATTTCTATTTCATAACGGACTATTGAATGTAAACATGGTTGCGAAACGGCATCAGCATTCGACACAAAAGAGTCATATTTTACAAACATGGCCCAGGCGTTACTATTGACATTTGATTAGATATGATATTAAACAACTTATTTTGTGTGAATTTGTTTTTGTATCGCTTAGGGTTTTTGTTTTTCTGTGTATCTTCATTCGGAAACGAAGGAGTCACTCAAGGCACTGTACTGAAACCTTAATTATTCTAAGTAACTTCATAAAATTAAAAGCATATAACATGTAAATTTGTGAAGTCTCACGATGATTATTGTGAAGTTCTTTTACATTTATTATGTTAGTGATATTAACAAAACCTGTTGCGATTAAAGTACAAGATTACAAGAACACAATATTTATAAATTTCCAAACGTACAAATTATATCATATAATTATATAAAATTAGAATACATGTAGTAAAAAGTATCAGAACTTTACTGTTTTCGTTATCTGTGTAACTTAGCAGGATTTATTTTCTATCCGATCGGGTTTAATTTTATATGCTGTTATAAAATCAAGCGTAATCATTTACACCTGGCTCATTAAGTAGATGTTTTATGGCGTAACTTTTCACACAAACGTCAACAAAAATTTAGACTTTTGATGTCCCAACTGGTTATTGGTAATTTTCTATTAAGATTCATGATTTAGTGAAAAGGGCAAAATCTGGGATCTTTGACGTATGATGGAATTTATTAGACGAAAAATTTTAAACATAGCTGATACATTTTATAGATAACGAATTTGAATCTAGTTGTTATAAGACGTTACTAAAAACTCTTTGTATTTTCTTAGAATAAGTTTAGCTTTTTTTATTAGTACTATATACAAACCCACAGATAATCAGACAGTCCAACTGATGAAAAGTGGTAATCTCCGTTCGTAGACATTTGCGATATAAAATATTCTGAATCAGCCATGACACAGGATCTTAAACCCAGTGTGCATGTGATTACACTGATTGGCCCTACTCTTCAATCTGGAACACAGTAGCGCTGCTTTTTGGTAGAAATAAGTAAGAAAGAGCTTGCAAAATGAAATTGAAGATATTAGTAACGCACTAGCAAGAAGATGTACCAACTAGACAGTGGATTTATGTTACCTGATGTTATAATTTGGTATTTTTAGTATGTATAGAGTTATTAGGTTTTTACGAGCACTGTACATTGGAAATAAATTTCGGATTTAATTTGAATTCTATTGCTCTGTTACTTATAGTAGAGGAAATTCCCTTGTTTGAGACCATGTAATTGTCGGTTGCCTGGCATGTTATTATTGTTGTGTTGCGTTATTTATCTATATTATATTATATTAATGTTAAATTATATTTGTTTGTCATTTACAACTAATAAATAACTTAAATATTCCGTAGAAGTCTTAGCGTAGTTACAATTTCTAATAGAGCTTAATTGCACATTGGAAAATGTTAATTCTAATTACGCTATTACAGGTGTAGTTAAAACGTAAAGTTGTAAAGCAGTTGGAAACCAATCTTCAATGCCACTAGACTTAATTTGCCTTTTTATGTGACATTAGAACTAGAAAGAATTTCCAATACATAGGTGCTTTTATAGCTATATAAGCTATTCATAGCTATCCATTCAACACTATGTATTTCTAAAGGATCACATGAAGCTGGTAAGACAGCTCTAAATAACATTGTCAATCATGTCAATGATATATAATAGTGTTTCAAATACAATATCAATTGCTACACGTATTGTAATTAAAATATGAAGAAATAAAACTTAAATATAAAGAAAACAATACCCCTCATATTTAATTATTTCATCGTCATCATTCAGCCATACGACGCCCACTGCTGGGCATAGGCCTCCCCCAACGATCTCCACGACAATGGGTTAAATAAATAAAAACACATGTATTTATCCACTAAACACATAAACAACACAACATGTAAACCATAATATAAGCCAATAATTATACAATAAAACAGAACAGTGGACGAAAAGGAAGACTCAGCATTGCTGATTTACCGTAGTCATATACTAAGTAAATACCAATACAGAGACTGTCTGTGTTGTACTTTATATAAAAGGTATAAAAATTGTAACCCGGATGGATAAATTACGGAACAGTGTGATAAGAGAGCGTTGCGGCGTGGAAGAAGATATAGTGACAAAGATAGAGAAAGGGTTGCTTAGATGGTTCGTACATGTAGAGAGAATAAATGAAAGAAGAGTGACGAAACAGATTTATAAGGCGAGTGTGAGCGGGCAAGTTGGTATGAGCCGACCAAGGAGAACTTATCATGACCAAATTGTGGTCATCCTAAAGAAGGGCCAGGTCAAGAGTACCCTTAACCGACGAGCGTGTATGAAACCATTGATGCGTGTTGATGAGGCGAAAGATGTGTGTCAGGACCGTAGCAAGTGGAAGACTGTTGTCTCTGATTACCCCGATGGGAAAAAGGCGTGAAGTATATGTATGTATGTAGATGTATGTAAAAATTCAAAAATAGTTATTAAAATGTTCAAAAAAAATTCACTTAAATGTGTCGAAATCATCATGAAATATAGCTGTGACAAGATAATATTATGTAAAAATAATAAATTAATGAACGGCCATCGAAACGGTTTAGCAATATTCGCAAGTCGATCTGATATGAGCACGCGCAGCCGCGCCCGCGCTCGATCCCTGACCGCCATTGGTTAATAAATCTTTACAATTAAGGACTCGCTGAGTTACTTTATCTCGGTCTTTGACCCCTTTCTCTTTTACAATATTAGCGCCTTCACATATTTTAATGCTTATTCATAAAACGGGACCAATATCGTTTCCAATTTGTGTGCGGTATAGCTAATAACAAATATTAAAAAAAAAAAATTCTTATGTGTAGTAATAACGAAAATCTAAGAACCGTACGAGTTCTTAGGTTTTCGTGATTTCTACGCAGTACTTATAACATGTGGTAGTTAATTTTTGTAGTTAAAAAACATTAAGTATACCCAACGAAATAATCGCCGTAGATTTTTTACTGGTATAATGGGTATATGTGTAGATGTGAATTAAGAATTGGCTAGCGTAAAAAACTGCCCGCAGTCGATGACAAAACAATTAAAAGCTCATCAGAGTTCCGAGAGTGACTTTAGGAAAATTAAGAAGAATCCCAAAGTCCCACAATAATGTATAAGAAAATATGTTAAACATTTCCATTTGGGGTATTTCGAGTTTAGTCAACTTTTATAAAATGCTTATAAAATACCTGCACCGAAATATGTTCCTGCAAAAACATTGACTAATGCGCTAATAACTGATATTTAAACGTATAAAAACCGGTCCAGCATGCGACAGCGGTGCCTTTTGAAAAATTTAAGTGAAAATATTAAATTACAGCGTTTAATATAAAATACGAAGTCTCTTACAGACTTCTGTTTGCGTAAAATACTTTGGATTTCTTTCTTATTTTGTTGATTTTGTGTTTGATTTCACTTTTCTTTAATTTTAAAGTTGCTCTTTGTTGCAATCTTTCGAGAAATTTAAGTTGACGCTCTGCATTGATAAAAGACAGATAAAAAGATACGCATTTTCATTGGTCCTTTCAACACTACGTCGTCATTATAATTTCATGCAAATGTATCAATTCTAGTAATTACTTTCATTTGTGTAAGTACTTGGACTGCTCGTGTACTACATTTGAAACACTAATGTCCGTGTATATAGTCGCTGTCCTTATCTCAGTCAGATTTGTACCTATATTTATTTGATGAATAGTTATTATTTACGAATGACTCATCATAGTTATCATCTACAGCCTGACTTCACCCTCTATTGGGTAAAGGCCTCTCGTAGTTTTTAGTAGTTTGCCATTCATTGGAACCATCCAAATCCATCTATAACCCGCAATTTTGACGATGTCACTGTCCACATCGCTGCAGGACGTCCTGTTTCTTTATAACTCTTTTTGGTCATCATTCGGTAGTCCTTTTACTCCATATGTCGTGAGTAACGATATCAATAGTAAACTGGCTGTTCCTGACAGTCACAAATTCATTTAAGGGGCAATGTATACGCTTCTATATAAAATCCATGATAGTGACCCGTTTAGCTCTTGCAGGTTGTCACGATCTATGATAGTATTTGAAATAAATATTGAAATGTTAACGAGTTCAAATGTTTATTTGCAAAGAGTAACCCCTAGATTTTCTTATTCATTCTTCTCATGGGAATCTGCTTTACGAATGAGTAGTACAATGTAATCAATATGACTATTTTTCAATTGCTTACCTAAGTATGAAATAAAGATTATTTGAGACTCAATGAACATTATCTATTTCATGGCTTTTCTTAATCCTTATCTAATTCATCAATTTTTTATGTACTAGGCCTCTAGTCTGTCAGAACGGCGCGACGTGCACCAACTCAGTCGGTGGTTTCTCCTGCATCTGTGTGAATGGCTGGACGGGCCCCGAGTGCTCCGTAAACATCGACGACTGCGCCGGCGCCGCCTGCTTCAACGGCGCCACTTGCATTGACAGAGTTGGGGCATTCTACTGCAAGTGTACGCCTGGAAAAACTGGTAAGGATACTTCTAGTTTATTTTTAAACTATCCCGGCTACGAGACCTGTAACGCATATTGTTACTGCCGTTGTTCAATATTATTTGATTTTGAATTGTCTGCTTTTAAATGTAAAGTTTTTATTAATAAGTTTTCACTTTCATCCACTTCCATAATTAAGTACATGTTATATAGACTCTACTATATATAAAACTCTTTTTATCTTTGAATTTACGCGAAAAATCCCAAACTAGGTACGTTTGAATAGAAGCCTATATTAGTATTCAATCCCAATACACTTAATTTAATATGCACTGGCATTTACAGATGGCTTGCAGCAGAAATATGGTTCAGTCACCTGTTATGAATTTTAATGTGGTATTGGTATTAATGTAGGTTATATAAATGTTGAAAAACACTAAATTTATGTAATATTTATGATATTACGACACAAATCTCATAACTGTTAAAAATATTAGTATGTTGGTACAGTATATGAAGTGGACACATTTAACTTTCTTGGTTTAACAATTATGCCCTCCTTTTGCATTTACATTTTGGTAACTTTCGAGATATTCGTACCTAGAGGTATTTTCTTTGAAAAATGTAAATTACGCCGATTTTGCGTAACAATAAAACTAGTCGGGTATTTAGTATCTGTTAATACGCTAGATATCACAATAAGTACCATAAAGCTATTTTGTAACTAATTTGTTTTACATTGACAAGCTGCAATATATCAAAGCTACACCAATTTCTAGTGATAACAAACAAATCAACTAGATGTCGCTTATCGCACAGTTTTTTATGAATAATGCCGGTTATTATTTTATTTCGTTCAGTATTAGCGCCATCTACCCTTATTAGGAAGCGTTAATTTATAAATTAGCTTGTAACACACAGTGTCATTCAGAGCAACGATCTGTAATAAATAGGTCAATGGTAGTAAATGACCAGTCCTCTTGAATCTTGCCAGCGATGACCTACGGGCTCTGAGATTGATCACTTACTATGGGCCTCGTTAAAAAGCTCAAAGTCTCTCAACGAGCTATGGAGCGACCAATGCTTGGCATTTCTCTACGTGATCGAATCAGAAATGAGGAGATCCGTAGAAGAACGAAATTCACGGACATAGTTCAAAGTATTAGCCAGTTGACATGGCAGTGGACAGGGCACATTTGGGGCAGAAAGGTTCACGAATGGAGACCGACCGTCCGACCGGCTAGTCTGTATAAATAGACATATATTAGGGGTTAAAGTATGAAATTGCCGTTTTATTGCAATAGGTTCTTTGAATTTTCATAGAATCTTCATGGTTTGAGATTTTCGAATGAAACTTTTTTCAAATGGTTTCTGTGATTTTTTTTTTTTAAATTGAAACATTTGAATATCAACTTTCAATTGTTTTTGTTATTCAATTTAGACAAGAAAGATGGATACTGCGAAAATTCGAGTGATTTTTGAATACGAGTTCCGACGCGGAACTAACGCGGCAGAAACAGCCCGCAATATCAATGCTGCGTTTGGAGAGGGGTCTACTAATGAACGCACCGTGCGATTTTGGTTTAAACGCTTTCGTGATGGAAATTTCGACTTAAAGAACGAGGCACGAGGAAGACCGCCCACACAGGTGAATAACGATGAATTAAGAGAGATAGTGGAAGCCGATCCTAGTCAAACTACCCAGGAATTAGCGGCATGGTTTAACGTTACCTTACCCACAATATTGACTCACTTGCGTCAAATCAATAAAATAAAAAAATACGAAAAATGGGTGCCTCATGATTTGACTGATCTGCAGAAAGAAACGCGTGTTGAAACTTGTGTTGCCTTGTTGAACCGGTACAGAAATGAAGGAATATTGGATCGAATTGTAACATGTGATGAAAAGTGGATTCTTTATGATAACCGGAAAAGAAAAATGCAATGCCTGACCCCAGGTCAAATGCCACAACAGTGTCCTAAAGCAAAACTTACCAATAAAAAGGTAATGGTAACTGTTTGGTGGTCTCAGCATGGTGTTATTCACTATAGTTTTCTCCGATCTGGTCAAGCAATAACGGCAGATGTCTATTGTGCTGAACTCCGAACCATGTTGACAAAACTAGCAGTAAAACAGCACCGACTCATGAATCGATCTTCACCATTATTGCTCCACGACAACGCGAGACCTCACACAGCACGAGAAACCATTGACCCTTCAGGAACTGCAGTTAGAAACCATTCGTCATCCTCCGTATTCACCAGACCTTGCTCCAACGGACTACCATTTTTTTCGTGATTTGGACAATTATCTACGTGACAAGAAGTTTTCTTCCCAGGAGGCAGTACAAAATGCTTTCACACAGTTTGTGCAGTCTAGATCGTCGGAGTTCTATCGCAAAGGCATTAATAACCTTCCCATTAGATGGCAGCAATGTATAGATAATAATGGCAACTATTTTGATTAAATAAATTTGTTAAAAATTTAAAAAATAAACAATTTAGATTTTCAGTACAAATCGGCAATTTCATACTTTAACCCCTATTATAAACGTTATGGTTCATTAATCTTTTTTATATGATGTTACTATCTCTGTCTATAAGTAAAAACGTAATTTTTGGCATATAGAAAAACTTTGAGTGATCAGATGACATCAAACAAATTAATACGAAAGCTTGTTCTCTTTCACGTAGTAGGTATTCTCAAAATACTTGTTGAATAGCAAAACCTGCAGAAGCCTCTAACATTACTAAGTGGAAAACTCGATACTGGCGAAAACCTAAAAGAACACCGCTAATAAGTAAAAAGAAGAAGAATTTTTGATAAAATCGGCTTTTGCGTTCTTTCTTCCCCAAAATATCGAATCTCAATCGGCTACATAGCTACAGAAGCATCATCAAAATAATTTTGCATTGGGATTGAGAATATTTTGCCATCCCTGCACCGCCTGCCACCATCTGCCACCGTCTGGAATCTTTTTACCTTATTTGTTTATTATCATGAGTACGTACAACAACTAACAATATGTTCGCACAGTCTCACAATATACTATAACAAACTTGCAAATTTCTCTCTGACGTCCATGTTTTTTACAGTTCAAGTTTCAGCGTTTTCTCATTGATAGACATGTTAACATTTGTTTTTCCATCCCTTAGGTCTCCTTTGCCACCTGGATGACGCGTGCACATCGAACCCGTGTCACGCGGACGCGATCTGCGACACCAGCCCCATCAACGGTTCCTACACCTGTTCCTGCGCATCGGGGTACAAAGGACTCGATTGCAGCGAGGATATCAACGAGTGTGAACAAGGTTCGTACACAATAAAAAGGTCACTGTAGATTGTTGTAGTGATAGAGCCACGATCTGTCTCGTTAAATCTTCTGTCTGTCAAGGCAAAGGGATTTTGCTTAAGTGGATCAATTTTCGTACATTAAGGAAATGAAACTAATTTCCAGGTCTAAATCGCGTGATTTGGTTTTTTTAAAGTATGTATATGCAAACCACCCTACTACCAGCAGTAGAGCTCCTTGTGAAAGAGGTCGTCTAGGCAAGTGCTGCCAGCTTACCTATTTCTGCCGCCAAGCAGTAACGTCAGCATTAGTGCGTTCCGGTTTTGAAGGGTAAGGGTGTTGGTGAAATTACAGGCACATAGGATGAGACTTGTCAACTTATGTCTCAGGGTGGCGGGCGCAGCGGCAGTGCCCCTCAGGTCCTTGCGATTTAAAGCTCTGAGTGGCACTGCAACTGTTATGGACAGGCATGTCGCTTAACACCAGGCGCACGACTTGTTCGTTCCATCATTTGGTACTATAAAAAAAGCTCAATAATTTAAAAATTAATTAGAAGGTTGTACAAACATATATGGTTAACCTTATTATTATATATTAACATTTATGTATACATTGTAACGATATATGTATTTATTATAATTATTTATGTGCTTACTTTATTGATGAGTAGTGTATTTATTTAAAACGCTTTCATTACAAGATATTCTTTGGCTGTACCCCCCTTTCCAACTCCTTTCTTTTCTATTTAAAATTTCTATCCTAAGGTTGCCTGGAAGAAATGGCTACTTAGCAATAAGGCCGTTGTACATTGGCTCACTCTGTGATACTTACGTTACTGTTGTGTGTTATCATTGTAATTTTAATGTGCAATATAAAATATTTTATTCATTCATTGATTCAAATAAAAAATATTTAAATGCGAATAACAAGCAGCACAAGACAATGTCCTTTGGTTAAGTCTAATTAGAAGAGGTTCAGCTTTTGGACAAAGACAAAGATTTCTTGACATTTCTGTTTACAATGCTTTCCATTTTTATACAGTTTATAATCAACTAACAACCAACATCTTAACCAAACAAAGCCGCGGAAGTCTAATGGTTTTGACCTACCGCCTCTCAAGAAGAGGTTCGTGGGTAAGCATCCGGGCTCTCAGTATTCAGAATCTATGTGCGAAATTGAACTTAAAATTTACCATGACCTACAAAAAGACTACAGCCCTTTTATTGCAAGAGGCTTGTGCCTTGTAATCGGCCCAATATAGGCAAATTTTTATTGTTTTGATATTTTTCATTTTAGTAGAAGTAGAGCTCTTTGTGACAGTGTTCGTTTAGAGAACGCACTGCCTTCAGTTTTAAAGAGTTAATGGTGTTGGTAAAATTATAGGCACATGGGAGTTGTCAACTTAGTAGCAACAAAAACAGTAACAAAAGTAGCAATGCCCATCAGATTATAACTGCCTCTGTGGTCGAACGGTTACCATGACCGCCACGCAGAGTCCCAGTTTCGATTCCCGGGCCGGGATAAATATTAGCTACATTTATTTATCTCTTAAGTTTGGGTGTAATTTGTGGTTGTCTATGTGCGTGTCCATGGCACCCGCGTTACAGGGGTTCCTTAGTGCGGGGCTATGTTGAGCGTGTACGTTAAAAAAAATTATTGCAGTTCAAAGCTCTGAGTAGCACTGCAACTGCTAGAAGACACGCCTGTGCGTGTCGTTTGCCTGTTCAGTGTCACAATTGTTCGTCCCGTCAGTTAGTATCATAAAAAAGCTCTCAAATCAACTGTCTTTGTCAGCAGGATCACCGTGCGAGCACGACGGCATCTGCGTGAACACCCCTGGGTCCTTTGCTTGTAATTGCTCTGTGGGATTCACCGGCCCACGCTGCGAAACAAACGTCAATGAGTGCGAGAGCCATCCCTGCAGGAACGACGGGTCTTGTCTAGACGACCCAGGAACTTTTCGATGCGTCTGTATGCCTGGTAAGTATTTGAAGATTTTTTCTAGTTAAGGTTGTTAGTTAATCAATTTCATGCACTACAGATGATACCCATATTACTTGAAGCAAAAATCGCCAACTTTGTGTAATAATTGTGTATACACTATATATTTCAAACAGTTCTTGTCGTTTGGAAAAGTCCTCCACTCTCACTCTCATCGTCCTCTCCTCTCACACTCTTCCACAAAGCTGGACGTACCCGAAGATACAATAAAATGAAATTGGTATCCTGTAAGATAAATTTTCAGGAGAAATGCTTAAATAATCTACAGACGAAATTTGTCTATGACTGTTTCATATTCACGTAATTTGTTTTGTGTATATCGTATTATTTTTATGAATTTCGCGTAATGAATGCGCTTTTGACGTATAATCAAATATGGCTTTATTATACTTTGAAATTTGAATTTGAAAATCAAATAGACAAATAAAATTAATTTTTAATAGTTATTAATACAAAGATCGAATACGAAAAAAAAATCTTTCGATCCGGCTGGATCCGAACCAACGTCGTTCAGCAAACCGTGTCAGACCCTATGCCAACTAAGCCACGGAACGAACTAGTGGACCTTATGAATTTTTCTACGTGCTTGTTGCAGATCGTTGTTTCCATAACTTTTTACCGTTGCGCCATCTGTTCGAAATCTATGAAAGCTTTTCTTCACTCAGCCGGGTGGTACCTTTACAGGTACTAGCAGCTGACTAGAGATGTCTCTTTAACAATTGTAATTTTAAAATTTATTGAACGTCACAATGTTTGACCACCGTGATATTCAATTATTTTTTTGATATATTTTTGTGTAATTACTCCACAACTTTGTTATAATTATTAATACAAAGATCAATTACTAAGAAAAAAATCCTTCGATCCGCTAGTTCGTTTCGTGGCTTAATTGGCATAGCATCTGACACGGTTTGCTCGAAGATGTTGGTTTGAATCCAGCCAGACGAAGGATTTTTTCATAGTGTATAATAATTAGTACTAATAATTATTACGAATAATTTTACAAAAATAATTGGATATCATGGCGGTCAAATATCGTAACATTCAATAAACTTAAAAAATCTTCAAAAAACCTGATTTTCAGTAATTAATAAAAACGTGCCTGATCCCTAGACACTTTTGATGTGTGTACATTTTTAATAACTTTTGTTTTTAAGTGTTCGCTATAAAAATGTCTTTGATACATAATTTTTGAGATAATAAAGAATTTCATTAAAATATCATTTGACTGTCCAAATGCTAAACCAAGTTTTACCCGACATTTTCGAATGTCGATTTTTTTTCCGGGAATGGCAATACATTGTATCTAATCATCAAAACACAATGGTCTAACATTGTGGAGTGCTAAATGTCATCTGCGCAATGATGCGAACTTAAAACCACTCATTGGAACCTTTCTCAACATAACCCTGTCATATCAAACACATATACATCTTTACTAGTTTCCTTATTATCAGGGACTCTTTCAATTTAGCATAGTAAAGCGTAACCTGAGAAATTACGCAACTCGGTAAAATTTAAAACGTCACCGGTCGTATAAAAGATAGTGTTGGACTTGTACTTTTAAATTGACTGTGTTATAACTCGGTTGAGTGAGCACCGCCTTGTGGACGGGTAATCGAGTAAGGGCAGGGGATCTCAGTATGACGGCATATCTTTTTTTTAAGTCCTATGGTTCTTTGCACTCGTTGTTTTTGTACTGCACTTTAGGTACCGTTGTTGTTTTATAGCAACTTCTGTGTGAATATGGATTTTTTGTATGTACCAATATCTAGTTTATAAGAAGTTTGATGAGAAAATGCTTGCTTTCTATATAATAGGTTTAAGGTTCAGTGCAATTTAGTTAAAAATACGTACTTGGTACTTGGTGTAACGGGCTGGTGTCCGCAACTCGACGTCAAGGCGCCTATTTTGCGTGTCAAAAAAAATACGTAATAAAGATGTTTTTAAATTGTGAAGTTGCAAAGTGGACATACGTGGTGGTTTAAAGGAGATCCGTGCTTAGAAGCGGGACGTGTATCTATTGATTATGAAGCCTTAATATAAATAAATTACTTTTTAGGCTAATTTTATAATTTCAGGCATTTAAGGAACCTAATAGACACGCAAAAGAGCTTTTGGTTCTTTTACGAAAATTGAAATCACATTTCACACCCTATATTTTTAGGATAGTGTAGATAGAAATAAGCACCGCATAAAGTTGTGCACTATACAATTTTTATTTTCTATTTTTTACAATCTCGGCATAAATTTAATAAACCTTTTTACTATAACAAAATCACCCATAATAGTCTTCACAATTACTAATTCCACATAAACCTGTACTAAAGCGGAGTGCAGAAGCAACATTCTTCGAAAATAACATGAAATAGCTTAAGAATGCTGTTAAATAGCCGTTTTAGCGCTTTTTTGTTTCTACCTGCCTGTGCTTGTAGTGGAAACTTGTTTCCTCGTCTCTTTGACGTTGTAATAAGGTATGATGGAGTTGCATTATTTTGAAGTCTTTAAAAAAAGTAGATGATGTTTGCTACAGAGATAAAACGTACAATTAGGCGTCATATTTGGTTTTTAGACTGCCTTTTTATTATCGTTTATTTTGAAATATTGATTCTTCTACGATAAAACACTTCACTTCTGCTGTAAAACAGCTTTCCTCGTCTCCATTTTAGGAGATAATGGCCCTCTGAGGTGGTCATTTTCAGTTTGTTACCTCTTTAAGTAACATAATAGGCAAAGTTTAAAAATATAATAAAAAGCGTAAAGCTAGGACTAAATTAAATTGATGACCTCGGTGGCCAAACTGAGAACATTGGATGAGGAGATCCCGGGTTCAATTCCCGGTAGGACCAATTTGGGAAATGAACTTTTCTACATTGGTTCTGATTTTAGTGTTCTAGGTAGCATTTTGAGACCGAGTATTTAAAAAAAAGTTGCAGAATGGAAAAAGTAAAATGAATGAAATTGAGTACCTGTGTCAGGATGCCTAAACGCTGGCAGCGTTCGCTTTTTGTATATAAAAAAAAAATATTTGCCAGAAAATGTTTTCAATTTACCACGATCTCCACACTAGGCAAGCCCTATGCGTGGGTCCCAGACATACCATTTACATATGATTTTTTTAAATTCTTTATAAAGACCAGAAATAGATAAATGTATAGGTATTATAAATTTATTTGCACAATAACTCTGGCCAAAATAGTTTCCGCTAATGTTTAACACAAGTTACATTGTTTAGACAAATTTGTACATAGCTATAACCAGGCAACAACTAATATAATAATTACCACCAAGCCACAAATTATAAACCACTTTTAATTATAATATATATTTATTGAAAATCACATATTTTAACTACCATATTCAATTATTTTATGTGAAATTACTCCACTAGTTTGATATAATTATTAATACAAAATAGAACACTTAGAAATATTCCTTCGATCGATTAATTATGTTAATAAAAGCTTCCTAATGGCAGATTTGAACCGGAATGGCTATACTAAGTTAGGCGTGTTGATAAGTATAGAATATCCTAAGAACCTAGCTAAGTAGAATAGTGACATAGTACACGTCGTTGTATAGGTTGAACAGTAATAACACGTATTCTTAAGTACTGAATCGACCTTTAAAATCAATATTATTACCTCATACATAGAAAACGCGTTATAAATTCAAACGCGTGAGTCGATATTAGCATGCGCCGGACATTCTATTGTGGCTTGCGATCCAAAATCGTGACGATTGGTCGGGTCGGAACCGAGAACGAGGTATGCACAACTGGCGGGTAATGTGTAGACAGTGAGACATCTGGTTGTGTCGCGCAAAGGAATTTTGCTAAGTGTTTTTTTACATATTATTAATAAATAGTTTACTTCGTAAAATAGAGAAAGTTGAAATGTTACTGATATTGCAACTATGTACATTCGAAATTCGAAAATATTTACGATTACCGGTATAGAATCTTTTTACCGGTACAATATAAACATTACTACTAATCTGTGTTGAATTTAACACTCGCCGAAACGTCTATAACCGTTACCTCCTCGGTGCCTGATTGAAGATATTAAAAAATGTTTCAAAATCTTATTAAATACCGTTAAATAATAACTTTAACGGCGTTTATAATAAACATTTTATTCAAATGCACACTCTTTGGATTTTATAATAGAAGCTTGTTTCATCTAATCCCGCTGTACACTCTCTAGTTGTACCAACGGGCCGAGACATGCGCTCGCGCAGGGCGGGGCGACCCCCCCTTTTTAGTCAATAGGCCATGTCGGTTATAGAATAAACTTACGCAATACATTTTATCGCAGAACCCAGCTATTATTGGATATTGGCTTTTAGTTGTTTATCTGAGTTTTGGAGCGATTTAAGGTTCTTAAGGATTTTTTGGAGCGATTTAAGGTTTTTAAGGATTTAATGTTACATTTACTAGTTTACACGTTAAATTGGAATAATTAATATAATGTAAGAAGTAAATAATGTATAAGCCCATCATATAAATAAGAATAGTTGGCACAACTACGTTTAATTAAGGTTTTAACAGCTTCTGGTGTCTATAACTTTTATTACGAGTATACGGTTGGATAACATCGAACTAAAATTGGCTTTTTAACAGCTTCAGGTGCCTACAATTACGACCTAGAAATACGACCTTAACAACATATTCAAAGCTTTTATTTAGATTTTTAGTAGTTGTAGAGCTTGTGAAAGAATTCATTTATGGAAGTATTGCCATCTTACCTATTTCTGCCGCCAAGCAGTAGTGTGAGCGTTACTGCGTTCTGGTTTGGAAAGGTAAGAGTGCTGGAGAAATTATAAGCACATGGGACTTGTCAACTTATGTCTCAGGGTGACGGGCGCAGTGGCAGTGCCCTTCAGATCTTTGTGGTTTAAAGCGCTGAATAGCCCTGTAACTGTTATGGACAGGCGTGTTGTTTGTCACCAGGCGCAAGTCTTGTCCGTCCCGTCACTTGGTACTATAAAAAAATCTGTAGATTATAATAAGTAATAATAACAGCGTAAAAATAAACACTGTAGAACATTCAGGCGCGATAAGGAAGTAAACCGCGAGCAGCTGCTGAGAACACTGGAATATATCAACGTGACGATGCGACTGTAGTTAGTCGGTGGAAGCGTTCGCCGTGCAAACCCTTACTGGTAGGTAATTAATGGGTTTTTAGAGTTTCAACCAGCTGTCTCACACAGATGGAAGCAGCGGCGTGCCACACTAGATTCTGAAACCGAGTACCACATTATCTCTGAAACACCTAACCAGGCTTGTATTAATTATGATAATGCTTAGCTTGCGTGTTTCTCACAAGTAACACCATCTGTTAGTGGTACTCGGTACTAAGTAGGTGGTAGAGGCGTTACAACACTGCATTTATCATAAAGTAGAAAAAATATTTTACTATGTTTGTCAATTTAAATCCTGTTTACGTATCTCGTTTGTGACCATCCTGATCAAATACATTTCTTGACATTTGCCACTCAATAGCTCATTTTCCCACAAACTAATCAATGTAAAATATGCCATATTGCTTTATGATAAGGTTTTAACAGAATGCAAAAATAAATGGTGTCTTTATAAGGGCACACCGGTCTGAGCTAGGTTGTCCTGCCTTAGGCATTTTCTCGCTAAGTTTGTCCTGAAATCAACCGTAACGTATTCATTTTAAAGTTCTTTTCCGTGTTGAATTGTTCAAATATGAAGGTCCATACCTTAAAACGAGACTGGATGATTCCTTTTTGGTTTATTTAAGTTTCAATCGTATTTGTCTTATGACAAGATAGATTTCTGGTTAAACAGTGAGCTGGAATGGTTCTGATATGTCTACCAATTAGCATTCTTGAGTTGCAAACATGTTGGAGTTGTTTTTTGTGTGTTTGCCTATTTGTCTGATGAATCTCGTAATAGAGAAAAGATGTAGAAATAGCGTGTAATAGTTTCAATGGACTTTTTTACAATTTACTATGTGTTTGGTTTACATAGGATTTCTTATTATTTTCCTGTTATTTCGTAACTCCTACCTATTACAATCCTTGAGTAAGGCCAGGAGAAGAGCGTACCTTTAACCGACAAGCGACTAATTGATCAGGCGAAAAACGGAGGGTTGTTGATCATTGATATTCTATACGGGTTAGGACTTTCATTCTGGGAATGTGGATCTCGAAAATTTCGAGAATCTCGAGACTGCTGTTTTTAGTCTCGGACATATCGGGACTTAAGTCACTTGATTAAACAGCGTTAAAAAAATCTAGTGAACCAACAATCTGGTAATTTTTTATTCTGATTACATGGACATGGCAACACTGGTTAGTATAAACCTGTAGGCATTGAAGAACGTTAGGAATGGAATCAGGTCCTTTCCATCTGAAATTATATTAAACGCGTTATGTTTCTTGCGTGCCCATTAGAAAAATTAAAAATAAAAAATTTCTAAATATTGTTGGATTTTATAATTTGGGTTAATGAAGAATTTAATTAAAATATCACACAACTGCCGCAATGTCCAAGCCTATAAATATGGAAACATATGTCTGAAATAGTCACGAAAGTCGCGTTTTTTTCCGGGATCTTCGAGACCGCATCGGGTCTCGAGTTCTTCCGGACGCGAAAATGCAGCGAAACTGAAAGGTCTAGCACGGGTGTAGGTTAGAGAAGAGCAAAACAAGCATCGTATATTTTTAAAAGGCGCCAGTTACTCCTCCCAACAATCGAATAATATGTTTAAATGAACCACTTAAGGTGACATGCTACTATAATTTTTATTTGTCACTATTACAGGTTATGTTTTGTCGTTACTACAAGTCGCACTCAGTAAGCAAGTAATGCACTAACAAATGTGTTCTTGTTTCAGGCTTCACGGGTACCCAGTGCGAGGTGGAGATAGATGAGTGCGCAAACAACCCTTGCCTCAACGGTGGGATTTGTCACGACATGATCAACGCTTTTCGCTGCACCTGTGTAATTGGGTAAGTGATGTTATATGGATCACACTTTTTGTATGATATTGGCTAGCTTTTAAACAGCAATACTGCCTCCGTGACCGAACGGTTACCATGTCGGACTGCCACACAGAGATCCCAGGTTCGATGCTCGGGTCGGGGGAAATATTTGTGTGGCCTACATTTATCTCTCTCGTGAGTTTGGGTGTAATTTGTGGTTGTCTTTGTGTGTGTCCATGGCATACGCAACACAGGGTTTCCCTGGTGCAGGACTATGGTGAGTGTGTGCGTTATTATTATTATTATTATTAATAAATAAAAACGAGAATGTCGTAGCGTTTCGTTGCCACTCATACCGCCGCCGATGCGAAAAGCAAGACGTCTTTTTCGCTCTTATTACACTGACAGAAAGGTTTTTCTGACCGCCTTAATGCGATTCCGTGCGATTCTACTAAAAATGCGAACCACATCGACTCAAGCCGGCGTAATAAGTGTATGGACTTCTATAATCAAGATGTGCAAAGAAATTAAATTCAATAGCGACTTAACATAAGGTAACTTTTGACTTTTCAGGTTCACGGGAGTCAGGTGCCAGGAGAACATCGACGACTGCGCTTCAAGTCCGTGCCGTAACGGCGGTACTTGCCACGACTCCATCGCAGGTTACACCTGTGAATGTCCACCGGGCTATACTGGTGCGTATTGGTTTATATATATTAGATTCGTATGAAAATTAACTCTCTTGGTTTTGTTTGAAAATCTGTCAAATATGAACACAAAGAGATAAATTCGTGCTCGTATATATAAGAATGGATTTTAAGGCTGCAATTTATAAAAAGAATTTTGACTTTAACACAGTAAACATTGGTGAGTTAAGCAAGTTTTTTGTACTTACAAAACAACATTTGTCTAAGTTTAAGCAAGACATTAAACTAAACTTAGAGTTTACTTCGTAATTCTTTCTTAGACTTGTGATGATGCGTCCTCTTTCATCGGGTTACCTATCAGAAGTCCGAAATGACATTTTCCAGAAATAACGTTTCCTCGAATTTTCTTAACCTCGAAATTAATTTTGAGAGGAAAAGGTTTCTTCTTTTAAACCTAACTTAACGTAACCTAACCGAACCTAATCATGTCTTAGCGATAAACATCCAACATATCCTAAAATGACTACGGTTTCGTTATAATTCGGTTTTCGGTGTAATGAAAATTCGAACAAACCTTTCGGAAAAAAGATTCGAGTTTGTGATAGGTTACACTTTCATCGTCACCCCACCTTTTTATCACCACTTTTTAAATTTATCTAATTTTTATCTAATAATCTCTAATTCTTTTTCTTCGGCATTCTTACTTTGCTTCGTCACTATCATCAAAATTATCGAGGAGAATAAAAGACGTGTCCGTCAATCATGTAACCTAACTGCTTATAAAGCAATGTACATACGAATACAGGCCCTTTTGGGGTAAGTGTCTACTTTATATTCATCCATGAGCATATCCGTATGTAATGTATGTTAGGGAGAGTGTTACAATATTGTACCCTTAGAATAATAAGGCATAGGATGATAGTTTCATATCAAACGAACTGTCACAAGTAAGGCAAAAATCAAATTAATGTAGGCTAGTTTTAGTAGTAGGTTAATTTTCGGTTTTAGTGAATATTTATATAAAAATACAAGTTGACGTTACGTCCTTGTGGAATGTGATGTTAGTATCTATTTTATGTTTGTCTGACGTATTTTTACACTCATTTACCGCACATTTCGTCATTTTTCTGTTCGCGGTGCAAGTTGACCTTGAGCACTGAAGGCCCGCCCGCTCGTGTAGGCCCTTTGGGAGCGCTTCAATTTGCCTCACTTAGCGTGTGCGGACTAGGTTTCTATGCGTTATTATTCTAAGATTGTACCTATGTTTTTATACATATTGTTTTTGATACAGCCTTTCCTTTTTCTTGTTTCTACGTCTACGATGCTGTGGACCGAGCCTTCTCTTTAATTTCCCCACTGCTGGGCTACAAACTTGAGGAAAATACGTTTTGTAATTAAGAAAAACTTGGTTAGATCGCCATTTTTGCTTAGTCGAAGCCAAAGTTTCTTTTATGAATTTCAGGCTTAAATCGACTCATAAATACTCATTTTGTCTCTCTCTTTGATTATGTCCGATGATGTCATTTAGGGACTCGCCACATTTATTGACACGGAATCGCCATGACCGGCTTAATGCGATTTGTGTCGATAAGTGTAGTGACTCCCTAATTTGAAATTGCTTTAATTTCATTAATGATAGCCATAATTGGTCACCTTAATCGGACATAAACACGTCACCGTGTAAAAAACCACATAAAAATGAATACTGGTAATCGGTAGTTTATTTCTCTGCATGAAATGTAACAACATTCAATGAAATTTAGCTATAATTTAACCAATCCTTGCGCTCCAGGCATGTCATGTGAAACGAATATCAACGACTGTCTCTCTGCGCCGTGTCACCGCGGCGAGTGCATCGACGGAGACAACAGCTTCACGTGCAACTGTCACCCTGGGTACACTGGCAGGGTCTGCCAGACGCAAATAAACGAATGCGAGTCCAACCCCTGTCAGTTCGGAGGTCAGTATCTCACTCAGCATTTACGAGTGGTTACTGCTTTAGCCGCTCAAAGTAATAATAATATTTATTTATTTGGGGCATCAGGAACACAGAAAAAATTTCGAATTTAATGAAACAATTTTGTCGCATTTAGTACCTTTCGGGCTCTTTACAGAATTGAGATCCGAAAACAATTGTTTCATTTCCAACTAAAAAAGATTAACTAAACAAATAACACTGCTACATTTTAGTCTAAGCAATATAGGTACGGTCTACGGAACAAGCACGTTATTGCTAATTACTGAAAATCAGGCTAAAAAATATTTTTCTTTTAAACACCAATGGATTTATGTTGGTCAATTTCATTTTCAAATTCAAATAAAAAAATTGACCAGAGAAAAATCCATTTGTGTTAAAAAAATTAAATAAGTTATAAATATGATAACTATTTGTTTATTTGATTGCATTTCGATATGAAAAACTGATTAAAAAAATGAAAGTGGGAAATATCAAACAATAAATAAAGCTGCTCCTGGAACCCTGGTGTCGAGGATTTAATCATAATAATAAAGTGTCAGACAGTACTACGAATACCAGAGTAACGGAATTGACACTGAAGACTTGTCAACTTCATGTCTCAGGGTGACGGGCGCCGTGATAGTGCCCCTCAGAAACTTGCGATTTAAATCTTTGATTGAAGAATAGGCTTGATAGACGTTACTTGATATTATCACAGATAATACAATACCATACTAGTAATAATATAAAAAGTAAAGCTATATGCGGTATTTAGGTATACCACTGTGGTACCTGTACAGTAAATGAACTACCGTCAATAATATTGTTAATAATAAAAATCTTTATAGTTTCAAATTCATTTAAGGGGCAATGTGTACGCTTCAATAATAAGATTCTGATTGATATTCTATTGATGATGATATTTCAGACTAAAGGTTTATTTACTTGGATGACAAATATCCGTGGTAGTGCCCCGTTTAGCTCTTGCAGGTAGTCTCAAACTCGTTAAAATTAATTATTAATGAAATATTGTAATGATAAATGTATTCAAACGTACATTTACAAAGAGCCACCCCTAGAGTTTCTTGCTCATTCTTGCAAGGGGAATCTGCCTTACGAATGATCCATAGAGTTTAATCAGTATTTTAAGTATTATTTCATTTTGACTTTATCATTTTTGTATGTTCCCTAGGCCACTGCGAAGACCTAATCGATGGTTATCAGTGCCGCTGCAAGCCGGGTACATCCGGGCGCAATTGTGAGATCAACGTGAACGAATGCTACTCCAATCCTTGCAGGAACGGAGCCACTTGCATTGATGGCATTAATAGGTACGTTATTTTGACCTTCTACCACCATTTTGCCACTGGGAAGCACCACACTTATCTCAGTACAATTGGCTTGAAGCGATCAGAAAAAGCTATGTCCATACAATAGGCGGGAAAAAGATATTGTGCATTTCGCCTGTGTTATTTTCGCTCTCATAACGTGGATATAATAAAGCCTTTTTTGACCAGACTAAAACTAATTCCTCGTCGATAAGTATGGTGACTCCATTAAGGACCTATGCTTGAATTTATTCAAATTTCATTTGGTTTAATTCCGTATCACCATGGACCAATAATTCGAGAGGACCTCTATTCGAGATACAAGACCACTTACTTACTTACTTTTTTGTTCTCTGACAAGATAGAGTAGTTCGGTATTCAGTACCTATTCCATTCATGGTGTACCAGATGTCGCGACGAGCGCCAAATAGCTATTTTTCTAACTTCATTGATTAGAGCTGCAATTACAAAAGCTAGGTACTCTAATTTCTAGTGATAACAAACAAATCAACTAGATGGAGCTTATTGGTTCCTTTTATTTAGGAATAGCGCCATCTACCTATATTAGGAAGCGTTAATTTATAAATTAGTTTGTAACACACAATACACAAAAAAAAGACGTGGTAGCCTAGGTTTGACGTAATGCCTCTCAAGCAAGCAGAGGGTCGTGGATTCGAATCCGGTCTCGCACCTCTGAGTTTCTCGGAATTTATGGGCGAAATTCAATTTGGAATTTGCCTTTTCGGTGAAGGAAAACATCGTAATGAAACCTGCACGTCGAAGAAGATTCACAACCCTCGGAAAACGTGTGAAGTCCCCAACCCACATTGGGCCAGCGTGGATTATGGCCTAAAACCTCGTCTGAAAGGAGACCCGTGCCCAACAGTGGGACGTATAATGGGTTGATGATGACACAATACACGCATATTTGTCAAAATTCTGAAAATAATTGTGGCTCATTATTAATATTTGAATAATATTAAAAGGAAAAAAGTATTCTTATATTTCATATTAAAGAAGAATTGATTGATATCCATAACCATTTACATAACATAAACTACGTCCAGGCTATTGATCAGCGCCATCTAGTTATAACACGGAAGTTTAACCTTTCTTAGAGTTGCGATCTGCAATAGTATAGAGATTAGCAGTCGTCTTGAATTGGTTAATGTCATCACGCAGAACTTTGTATACGTGTGCAGTGGTTCATGTATGGGTCCTTATTTTCAACGAGCTTTGCGATTTTTTCCTGCATTACAACTTATTGAGTTTTTCTCCTTTTCTTTACATGCAGCAACAATTATTTCGAGTAAGTGTTCTCCTTGTTTACGTTACGTTTAATGTTTACGTTTGCTTGACATTTAGCTTTTTAAAAATTAACTATGTCTAATGTATTTTGTGTTTGTTTTTGATTGAAGCTTAATTTACAATACAGTGGAATGGAATGGAAGCGGATCTTTATAACCTTAGTTAGCATAACGAACTTTGTGTGAATTGTGTGACGTATAAAGTAGATACGAGCATGAAAAAACAGGCCATTCACTTCCGGAGCTACCGTATTGTATCTAGATTTGTAAGTTACATAATACACAAACATGGAGTTTTTAGGTTTCCACGATTGTTACACATAGGAAATGAAACTATTTTTCCGGTTTTAAATCGCGTATATTTGATTTTTCAATCAAACCGCAATATACGCGATTTAAATCCGGAAAAATAGTTTCATTTCCTGAATATACATAAAGTTCATTATTACAAATTGGCTTCCATTCCGTTCCGCGGAAATGTAAATTGAGTTTTCATGCTGCATGTAAAGATTTAGTCGCATTAGGCCTCGTACAGACAGGCATGAAGCGGATTAGTGTTAAAAAATATTTTTTTTTTTAATAAAAAAAAATACTTAATAAAAATTTGTATCACAAAAAAAATGCCCACTTTCCTGTCAATAGCTGCATCTGTCTGTAAGAGGCCTTAAGGTTTTCATTATTTGATCATGACAAGGAAACTATTTCTTCTGTAGGGCTACCACGATAAGACCCGACTTACGCGAGAGCGACATAAAGTGCGTGATCTCTATGCGAGAACAGCAGTATCTCACGCTTGCCGCGCCCTATTGTGCTAGCCCTACAGATCTCTTTCAATAATATATTTTTTTGCATTATTAATATTGTATCTTAAATGCAATGAACCTTAATAGCATGGCTTGTTTTTTTTCCACATAAACACTTAGTTAGTTTCCTTTTAATCGTACCCAGGTATACTTGTGAATGTATCCCCGGATTCATGGGCCAGCACTGCGAGACGAACATCAACGAGTGCCTGTCGAATCCATGCGCGAATGGGGGAAAGTGCATCGACAGAATCAATGGCTTCCGCTGCGAATGTCCTAGAGGATACTACGATGCTAGGTAATTAACTTTTAAAAATTATCAAGTGTTAGTTGTGTGTTTCTTTTTTATTATTTCATTACGGTAAATAATAGTTCCTGGCATTTTCTATACGTATTTTAAATTACGTATTTAATATGGGTAGTTATTTAAAATAGAAAAATACGTTTAATAATTACCACATTGCTAATTAAACGAAGTAAAAATTAAGAGAGATTTATAGTAATTGCCGTAGTGGTTTTAGTAAGGCAACGTCTATCGTTAATGATTGATTGAATAAATGCCACGCTCTATCGATACTCGACTGCCATTGCAACTAGATTTTAGCAGAAAAACATCTTCAGTAGCAGAGGGCTCCTTGTGAAAGAGTTCGTCCAGGGAAGTAATGCCATCTTACCTATTTCTGCCGCCAAACAGTAATATAAGCGTTATTGCTTTTCGGTTTTGAAGAGCAAGGATGCCGGTGAAATTACAGGCACGTGGGACTTGTCAACTTGTGTCTTAGAATGACAGGCGCGGTGGCAGTACCTGTCACATTTTTGGGATTTAAAGCTTTGAGTGGCACTGCAACTGCTATGAACAGGCGTGTCGCTTACTACCAGGAACTTGACCTGTTCGTCCCGTCACTTCGTATCATAAACAAACAAATGCCTAGTGATTTATAGAAAATTAGCAGAATTGTGGCACTGTAATACGACGTTGTTGGACATAGCGTATTGACGATGACATTTTCGTCACTTTAAACGTCCTTGCTGTTATTTTTCATCACACTTAAATAATAAGATTGCATGCAGGCTAACTTGACTATAAAGCGCCAATTAAAACCCTCGGGTCTTTTTCTTCTCATTACCGAGCATGGGTGTAATGGAAAGAAAAATGGCCCGATGGTTTTATTTGGGGCATTATAGTCAAGTTGACTTGCATACATTGTGTTTCACAGGCTACCGCCTGAATTACGAATATACACGTGAATTGTGAACCTCGACTCAGAAAGTCCTCGGTCTTCGACTGTGGACTTCGTTCGTAATTTTTTATTTGCCGCCATGTACTATTAAGTCTACTTAGTGTTACATAATGTCTCTGTTTATTTCCAGATGTCTTTCGGACGTGAACGAATGTGCTTCAAACCCCTGCATCAACGGGGGCACCTGCGAGGATGGAGTCAACCAATTTATCTGCCATTGTTTGCCAGGATACGGAGGTATGATCATTTATTTTTATGAGTTACGTATCAAGTTGTAAAGGTCAATTTACACTAAGTAATTCCTCACGCGCCAAATTTGTTTTTAAAATTGTAGTCCATTTGTTTAGGTACTTAACTAAATGTAAACAGTCTTGAGATGTCTATTTAATGAAATATACATTTAAAATATACATCGATTTGTAAAGTATATGTTTCAATAAAAAGATGTATCAAGATTGTTTACATCTAGTTAAGCACCTAAGCAAATGGACTATAGGTGCTAATGTTCTTCTCGCTTGTGTCTTATCATACATTTGAGATAAGGTGTATATTGCAATAAACGTCGTTGCTTATTGTAAATGACATTGTGACTATGTTATGAAGCGTAAGATCACGACTGCTTCTTAGTTGAGATTGAAGGTTCAAACCCCTGTATGTACCTAAAATTTCAATTTGTATGTTGTACTTTTACGAATATTCAGTATCAATACCTCTGGCTAGAGGTGAACCACAACCCTTGAAAAAGAAGATGGAGGATTAAGGTTGATAATAGTTGTTAAGTAGCAGTAGAAAGAACCTTGTGAAAGAGTGCATCCAGGGAATTACTGCCACAATATCTATTTCTGCCGCCAAGCAGTAATTCGGCTTAGAGATGCGCACACTGTTTTGCTTTGATACGGTTTTTTGTATCGTTATCGATTTCATAAAATTCGTTTCAAAATGACCTTCGATAAACAAAAAGTTGCCAACCTTTTTGGCTTCAGTCGGTTTACGACTTTCATATGTAGTGATACGAGACAGTAAGAAAAGAGGTTCAGATGGCACAGAAGTAGCGATAAACGCCAAATATCGTAGATTTATTGTATACTTAGATGTTGTCAAACTACTTTTCTTACAGACCAATATAAAACAGTATTAACCGTACGACTCAGTCGAGGTTCAGAAGAACTGTTACAGGTCGTATACACTTGAATTGATCTTCATAAAATCGATTCGGGTGGGGGTGTAGTGAGACTGCACGGTGACGTTGCCAGTGGTGGTGTCCCACAGATTTTTGCAATTATATAGTTCTGAGTGGCACTGCAATTTTTATGATTAGGTCTATCTCGTACGACTAGGCGCATCATGTTAAAAAAAATTATAAAAATACTTATTTATGTACCATTGTTTTCAGGACAACGATGTGAACGAGATATCGATGAATGCAGCTCAAACCCGTGTCAGCACGGAGGTACCTGTCACGACAGGCTCAATGCTTACAAATGCGATTGTATCCTGGGATTCACTGGTACGTTTTACCTTATTTACAAGAACAGTTTAAATCTAAATACTACATTAAAGTAAATATAAATAGTTGTACACTTTGATACCGGTATTTTTAAAGAAGCTTTTTTCGGCAACTTATGGGGGTTCCTAAAGGCGAGCCAACCAAAGTTAGTTACTACAAGAAAATAAAGTAGGTATAAGTAATAATAAATATTTTCTTTTTTTAGGATGCCAATTATACAAAAAAGGTATCCTATTTTTTAGAAGAAACTTTTAGAGAATTTGTACAACTATGTTACAAAACAATTAAAACTTCTTCGTTGGGTTATTTGTGATGACGAGCTCGTTGACCCAACGATTGGCACTTTAGACGCTGGACGTAGAAGTCTCGGGTTGGAGATGTTCCATGGCTTTGGTACTCATAACACAGGGAATCTCCTAGTTTGGGACCTTAGGGTTCCTCTCCTATCGGACGTTCCTGACTTTAGAGGCTGCCGCGTTAAAGAGCGAGGTGGTACTGCAGCTGCATCATTCCCTCAAATTTTTCAACTAGGAGTGCCGCCTTCTACTAACATTTCGTTATCCAGCGATTTTGCCTTGGATGATGAGATGGAGTAATTTGTATTTATTGTTCCTCATGACATGGCCGAAGTACTACATCTTCCCGCACTTAATGGAATTCATAAGCTCCACTTTTTAGTTTTGACGCTGGGTAATGCATGATGGGTAAAATACGCTATGAACAATTATAATTTGGACGTCATAAGGATTGTTATAGAAAGTTTTATAATTAAGTAATCGTGATTTGACAGGCGTAAACTGCGAAACGAACATCGACGACTGCGCGGGCAACCCGTGTTTGCACGGCGGCTCTTGTATCGACCTTGTCAACGGTTACCGCTGCGTGTGCGCACCGCCACACTCTGGCCGCAACTGCGAGACTACGCTTGATCCTTGTTCGCCTAATCAGTAAGTTTATATAGCACCAATTATTTTGTTTATTACTTCTTTTCGCACAGTGTACATCGTCGAGATTCTTAAACTTTAATACCGCTATATAACTAAAAGCTTAAAAGCAAATAAACAGTGCTATTGTTTGTTTCTTGTAGCCCTTAATTACGTCTCCATATCGACTGTAGTACCTTAAAGGCTGCAAGTGGCACTTATTATAGGTAGATCTTGCTTCATCCTCTTCCCAATGACTGGCACGGATCTTCTCTAAGTAGTGTTTTATGCTTATACTCCGTCATATTGGTTCATTGCGGCTTCAGACTTATTTCGAGGCAGTTCCATGGCCGAATGATTACTATGCTGATCTGCCACGAAGAGGTCCCGCGTTCAATTCCTGGGCCGGAAGAAAATATTTGTATGGCCTACATTTATTTCTATCATGAGTTTGGGTGTATTTTGTGGTTATCTGTGTGTATTTCCATGGCACCCGCGATACAGGGTTTCCTTAGTGCGTCACCCATACACACACGCATACAGTAAAACATATAATATATATTTCATATTTAATCAAAGACATATATCTAGATATGTCTGTGTATTTAATAATGTAGCTATTAAAATTGTTAAGAAATAGGCAATAAGCTGTGTCCAATGTTTGAGAGAGGACACTGACTCCTGTAACACAGGTTATACCTAGCTCAGGTGTCAGGGACTTCACTAGTATGTTGTAATTATTTTGTAACAATAAACATTATTATTATTAGGGTTTCCCTAGTGCGTGGCTATGTGTTGTAGTAATCATAGGTTTCGACATTATATTTTTTTTTTCACCGTAAGCAAGAGGTATTGGTGTTATACATCCACTTCCTCGGGGTTTGAATCGGCGACTTCGATATTTCAGATGAAACCATATTCCTACAGAACTATTACCGTTAATCGACTTAATTTTATTGCACAAATTATAAGCTTAAATCTCTTAACTAGATGCCGACACGGCGGCCGCTGCGTCGCAGAAGCCTCGTATGCGGAATTCACTTGCCAGTGCCCCGTGGGTTGGACCGGGGCCCTCTGCGAACGAGATGTGGACGAATGTGCTGTCACTGCGCCCTGCCACAACGAAGCCACTTGCATTAACACTGAGGGGTCTTATGCCTGCCTTTGTGCAAGAGGTTACGAGGGGAAGGATTGCGCTATCAATACTGATGATTGCGCTTCGTGTAAGTAAATTCAAATCTCAAACAGCACTGCCAGTATCATATTTTATTTTTTGTCCAATTTTTTTACTAGGCAAACGATATTAAAAGTGATAAGACTTTTTTTACAGTCCCTTGTCAAAATGGCGCGACGTGTCTGGACAGCATTGGCGACTACAACTGCGTGTGCGCAAGTGGTTTCGCGGGCAAGCACTGCGAGGTCGACATCGACGAATGTCAGTCGCGTCCTTGTATGAACGGCGCCACTTGTAACCAGGTACGTTTCATAATTTTATTCAAATTGGGATGTAATTATGGAAGAAATAAAAACAATGGAAGTGCTTTAAGCCTCAATTACAATAAGAATCGCTGTCGCCAATACTAACACATTCATAGCTTTCAACACTGAAATCTAGTTACTGAGTGGTCGTTTCAAACTTAAAAAGAAATAACAAATTCTGATCTGATGATGTAATTTAAACTTTATCCTGTTGGCACACGTTGAAAGTTCAACGCCATCAATGCCTATTATTGCAAGTTACGACTTAAGTTAGTGGATGGAGGAGTAGCGAGCCCATAGTATCTGCCTACAAGGGCTTGAAGACGTCGAGTATATAACCAGAAATAGAGACGAAATGTCATTTAATTTGTTTGAAAACTATTCTGCCAAATCATTACAGTGACAACTGCACTTCGATTGACCATACCGAAATCGAAACAATTGACGGGTGTCGTCAATTGTTTCACTTTAAATCGACCAGTTTAACTTGAGTTTTGCTATAGTGGACGAAAATTGAAAAATTTCATATTTGATTACCGATGAAATGTGATTCTGTTTGTTTTTCGCACACCACCGAATGAAACAGCCCCCCCATAGTTAGAGTTATTATCTTTATTACAATGAATACAAAAATGTTTTTGAAATATACGGAGATGTACGCACAGGTCAGTTGGCGCTGTGCTATTTCAGCTTTCTAATTTGTGATTTCAGTGCAAACGAGATTTGATATTTAAAAGTGATATAAGACCCATCTGCCTGGAATGGATGGCCCTTATTTATTTCTGGTTATATACTCGATGCTTGAAGGTGTGGCTTCTAGTAGGTGTGGCATAAGGCTCATAAGCTAGACAACATATTTATGTTCCTTTAGCATTTATAAATTGTTAACTACAACCCTAACAAAAATTCTCTGTTTCTCAGTATGTGGCTTCCTACACGTGCACATGTCCGCTGGGCTTCTCGGGCATCAACTGCCAGACGAACGACGAGGACTGCACGGAGTCCAGCTGTATGAACGGCGGCACCTGCATTGATGGAATTAATTCTTACAACTGCTCCTGCCCACCTGGGTAAATACCTCGACACACGGCAGTGTGTCAGATAACGTTTAGAAATCAAAAGTCGTTCATAGGTGTTCATATAATGGAACCTTTTCGTACATCTTTTCCTATTATCCTGTACGACAAAGGCTTCCAAACTTTCGTATCTCGTGAACCACGTGCCCATTCTTTCTGTTTTGCTTAGAAGTTTGGGACTTCTAAAAAAATCCATTTACTACAAATTCATCAACTTGAAATATGTTTTTGATAGTTTACACATTGCTACTGGTTTTGATAAGTATCATCTTTATTTAATAAGCAAGCAAATCACACTTGAAAATTCTCCTGAGAAGAATGAGTAAGAAACTCTAGGACTTGCTTTTTGTAAACATACATTTGAATACATTTATCATTTACAATATTTATATCAAATATCTTAGATCGAAAATGTTTGAGCTAAACCACGCAAATATGTCATCCAAGTACGCAGAATCTGTATTAACATTTAGTATAAAGTTTTTGTTTCAGTAATATACTTCGTGAATGTTACATTTTGAATATCGCTCGGAATCTTGTTATAGAAGCGTATACATTACCCCTTAAATGACTGAAAAAAGACGACTATCAAGAACAGCTAGTTTATTTTTATTCCTCGTACTAATGTTATGTCTGTCATAAAAAAATATACATTTAACTAAACGAATAGCTCCTTAGGAATTTAATTGACAGGTAATTTACTTGTTTATTATAAGAAAGTATTATGAAAGTACATAGGTATTATACCATCCCTGTAATGTGGCTTCGGTACTCCATTTATGGAAAGCCACAATTTTGGTTACGACCTGCCCAAAAAGCATTGTCGTGGACGGGTGTCCACACACCACACCAGCTACACCGCACAATTACAGTCTAATGCACCCCCTATTTTTAACTGACTTTAAGTCGTTCTCAATTCGTCTGTACCTTTTTTTTAGTTGTGTATGTTACTCGAGTACTCCTACATTGAACCGATTTCAATGATTATTTTTTTGTTGGAAACGGGGTACTTCAGTAGTCATCGAACAATCGACTTATCTATCTATAACATATAACACGACGTTACTTTGATAGCTTATCTCTAACTGCCTCCGTGGCCGAATGGTTACCATGCCGGACTGCCACGTAGAGGTCCCAGGTTCGATTCCCGGGCCGGGAGAAATATTTGTATGACATTTATTTCTGTCGTGAGTTTGGGTGTAATTTTGTGGTTGTCTATGGCACCCGCGACCCAGGGTTTCCCTAGTACGGGGCTATGTTGACTGTGTGTGCGTTATATTTCTATGCCTATCTCTCTACTCAATACTGTAATATCTTGTTTCTTTCCAGCTACACGGGGTCGAACTGTCAGTTTCGTATCAACATGTGCGACAGCTCTCCCTGCGACAACAGCGCCACCTGCCATGACCACATCACACACTACACTTGCCATTGCTCTTACGGGTATACAGGGAAGCACTGCGAGGATTACGTTAATTGGTAAGTAAGCTGTTACTTTGGGATTACAATATATTTTTGACCTCTTTGTCTAATTTAATTCAAATTATTATTTGAGCGGTTGTAACTCAGTGTTAGAGCGGTTGCTTCTCGATTGTGGGGTTGACGATTAAAATCACCATAGTTCCATGACTTCTTCATCTCTTCACGACTATAGCATCTGACTTACATATCGACTATGAACTGGCAATCGGTACTATCCCAATTTTGACAACTTTACACGATGAAGAATAAAATTGTTTGCGTCATTTATATAGCATCTGATTTATTACATAAAAATACGTAGTATTTACGTATTTTTACACATGCATTACTAATAATGAAGATGAATTCACCTCTTAAAATTTACCCTTAATATAGCGATCCCAAAAAGACAAAATTTTTCAAATTGCCTATGGTGATTACCTCAAATAACAGTGCACCAAACTAATTTTGCAGATTCGCGGCACTATTGCTATCTGTTATGTATCATGTTATAAAATGTTACAGGTGTGAAAACAATCCGTGTGAGAATGGAGCAACATGTTCGCAAAAAGGACCACAGTATACGTGTACCTGCGCTCCAGGCTGGTCTGGCAAGCTGTGTGATGTTGAAATGGTTTCTTGTAAGGATGCAACCCTTAGAAAAGGTAAACAATTTAAAAATTTCCATCAATCGCTTTTGACTATTTAACGGTGACTTTCGATGTACTGAGAACAAAAACGTTTATTCCACAGGAGTCAAACTCAAGCAGCTCTGCAACAACGGCTCTTGCGAGGACATCGGCAACTCCCACCGTTGTCACTGTCTAGACGGATACACAGGCTCTTACTGTCAGAAGGAAATCAATGAGTGCGAATCTGCACCGTGCCAGAACGGAGCAGTGTGCAAGGACCTGGTAGGGACGTACCAGTGCCAATGTGCCAAAGGATTTCAAGGCCAGAACTGCGAGTTAAACGTCAACGACTGCCTTCCCAACCCTTGCCAGAATGGAGGAACTTGTCACGATCTCATCAACAATTTCTCTTGTTCATGTCCTTTCGGAACTCTTGGTAAAATTTGCGAAATCAATGTTAATGATTGCAAACAGGACGCCTGCCACAATAACGGAACTTGTATAGATAAAGTTGGAGGCTTTGAGTGCAAGTGTCCACCAGGCTTCGTTGGTCCTCGGTGCGAGGGAGACATCAACGAGTGTCTTTCCAATCCTTGCTCAATTCCTGGTACTCAAGACTGCGTCCAGCTTATCAACGACTATCATTGCAATTGTAAACCAGGATACATGGGAAGACACTGTGATGCCAAAGTCAACTTCTGCGCTAACTCTCCTTGTCAAAACGGAGGTATCTGTACAGCCATTTCAGGTGGTCACGAATGTCTATGCAACGATGGATTTTATGGCAAAAACTGCGAATATTCCGGCTATGCATGCGATTCTAACCCTTGCCAAAACGGTGGCTATTGCAGAACGTCTGAAATAGGTGGTTACGTTTGCGATTGTCCTTCAGGATTATCAGGTATCAATTGCGAAATAGATTCTATGAATGAATGTCTTAGCAACCCGTGCAAGCACCCTGAAGCAAGGTGCATTGATAAACCAGGTGATTACCTCTGTTACTGTCCAAGACAATGGACAGGAAAGAATTGTGACATTTACGACCCTCACGCAAGAGGTGGCTACGGAAGTCCAGTCAGCGGAGTTTATGGCAGTAACAAAAACCCAACTTTGACCCTCCAAGAACTGGATTTAGCTTTCCAAAGAGAACAGTGTGTCAAGTTGGGATGCAAAGAAAAACAGGGAGACCACCATTGTGACGAGGAATGTAACACGTACGCCTGCGATTTTGATGGCAACGACTGTTCTCTAGGCATTAACCCTTGGGCAAACTGTACAGCACCAGTGAACTGTTGGGAGGTGTTTATGAATGGCGAATGTAACGAGATTTGTAACACTCAAGCCTGCTTATTTGATGGAAGGGATTGCGAGAAATCACTGCAAAAATGCAATCCAATCTATGACGCTTACTGTCAGAAGCACTATGCCAACGGTCACTGCGACTATGGTTGCAACAATGCTGAATGTAACTGGGATGGTTTGGACTGCGAAAACGAACCCCCAGACTTAGCCGAAGGTGTCATGTCAATTATTCTCCTCATGGACATGAGAACTTTTAAGGAAAACTCCGTCGCGTTTCTTCGTGATCTAGGCCACCAATTGCGAACTACTGTAGTGATCAAGAAAGACCATTTAGGCAACGACATGGTTTACCCTTGGAAGGGATCGACAGACGCTGGTTTGGCTGAGACTGAATTTGGAAAGAAACATCATATAGTGGCTACTGAAAGGGGGCAATCTGGAGTACAAGTTTATTTAGAAATTGACAATAGAAAGTGTACCACCACGAGTGGTTCCGAATGCTTCTTCTCTGCTAGAGAAGCTGCAGAGTTCTTAGCAGCAACAGCTTCCAGGCACTACTTGCCCCAAGATTTCCCGATCTACCAAGTGAAAGGAGTCACAAACCCTGAGCCAGATGAAATGCCAACAAATTCTAAATACGTATTCATTGGTGTCATACTTGTTCTTCTGGCTGGTCTGTTGATCGGAGTACTGGTCACAGCTCAACGGAAACGCGCTGCTGGTATAACATGGTTCCCAGAAGGATTCATACGGAATAATTCATCATCAAGACGTCGTTCGAGAAGACGAGGTCCTGATGGCCAAGAAATGCGGAATTTGAATAAAGGTTCTATGGGTTGCATTGATGTAGACATCAATGGCGGCCACATGGGACCCCCTCACTGGTCTGATGATGACGACGACGGTTCAGCTCCACCAAGAGCTAAAAGAGCGCGAGGTCCTGGAGATGCTAATGGTGCTCCTGGAGGTTACGCGTCAGACCATACTGCGATTACGGATTATGAAGAAGCAGGTCACGACTCAAGGGTATGGACGCAGCAGCATCTGGACGCGGCGGATATCCGGGTGCCACCTAGCATGATGACACCTCCAGCAATCGTGAGTACAAGCCTTAATCACCCTATTTTCGTCCATGATGATTAGAAACCGTTAATAATAATTCGATACAAAAGCTTTCTTCTTTGTCTGTATACCTTTTAATACTATAAACACGATTTTTCCTTCAGCACGACGGTCACGTAGACGTAGATGCCCGGGGACCACTGGGCATGACCCCACTTATGGTGGCAGCAGTGAGGGGCGGAGGCCTAGACACAGGGTCTGATGCCGAAGACGAACAAACAGCTCATATTATATCGGAACTGGTCGCGCAAGGAGCGCAGTTGAATGCTGCTATGGACAAGACTGGGGAGACCAGCTTGCACCTTGCTGCTAGGTTAGTTTGTTTACATTTTACTTTGTTTTTGATTTTTGGCTCCTCTATTCTGTCTAGTTATATGAAAGCAATGCTCTTGCAAGAATGTTATTACTTACTTTTGAAATTTATTACGTTATTTGGGCGAAAATCAGCCTAAAAATCATAAAAGTATAAACACTTAAAACTATAAACTTAAGTTTGAATAACTAAGTAGAATGTAGCCTAGTTAAGTGAAATTTTAAGTCTTTTATTGTCTAGATAACCTTTTTTATCTAACTAACTTTGACCACAATCTAACCTGAATCGTCATACGCGTTTATCTAAAAAAACCTGTTTACCGGAGATAGGTGAGCTTCCAGGTTTTAACCCAGCGCTTTGGTAATGTCGGGTTTTAAATCGGGCTAAAACTTATTAACGTCAATTTTTTCATCGAAATTTGTAACAAGTGTGGAATTACACCAAATTCCGTATTAGCCGTTTATGCCCACGATTTTGGGCAGAATTCAGTTAATTCTGGGCGGCTTCATTTGGTTTTAACCCATTGCCCATCTCTGCTATTGAAGCCTCAATTTGCAATTTTTGAGAAACACAGATTACCGGCAGCGTAGTCTATTCCTTTGCCGCACGCATGACTAAAATGTTGATCTGTGCACAGATACGCTCGTGCCGACGCGGCCAAGCGTCTCCTGGATGCCGGCGCCGACGCAAACTCGCAAGACAACACGGGCAGAACACCACTGCACGCCGCGGTCGCAGCAGACGCTATGGGTGTCTTCCAGATTCTGCTCAGGAATAGAGCGACGAACTTGAATGCGAGAATGCATGATGGAACCACGCCGTTAATTTTAGCTGCTAGGTGAGTGTGAGAAAACTGTATGACTACGTTAACTACGAATGAAATAATTATGAATCTGTTATTACGTTGGCTGAATTTACTTTAGAATCGGAATAAAAGGGAATTTTTATATTTATATATTTATATATATTTTTTTTTGTAACTGCGGGAAATCCCGAAATTGCATGTATCTAGTTTTGCACATTTGACATAAAGATCATTATGTTATGGGTACAAACAAATGATTCTATTCCATTGCGATAATGTAAATGAGCCTTAGTGTAGTAACAGTAGTAGTTAATTTCTACACAACGAACTTTACTTTCAAACAAGGCCATAACTTTTACCCGACGAAACAGTCTGATTTAGACATTGATTTATATTACGTTTACTTGAAATAAATTGTATAGTCGGGTTACAAATCTGTCTTTGTGATATTCTAAATTTACATTACTTGTTATCGTATACATCCTACTAACTTAGGTCATCATCATCTATGCCTTTAACTAGGTATGTGTTATACAAAGAAAGAACATAAATTAGTAGGGACGCCCTTGAATATTGGAATTAGAATTGATGATCTCGCGTCAAAAGTGCGATCTGGCAATGCATTTGTCCCCGTTGGCCAACTTCAAAAAAATTTGCCAATCGCGATTATTTAAGTATGCAATTGATCGAAGTCATATGCGCGATCAAGCAAGATCTGGTGCATCGCCTCTCCCTAATCTTTAATTTTCTTTAGTATACAACTATCGTAGATGGTGTTGTTAAATTTGTCAGTGCAATCAATTATTATTTTTTGGATAAAGGTCTTGTTTGTGGGCTGTCACTTAACGTAAGTTTGCTAAATTTTCTCGGGTAATTAAAATAAAAATATTGACTAGTTTCTCATGTATGTACAAATCGTTTTTTAACAGGCTGGCGATAGAAGGCATGGTGGAAGACCTAATAAACGCGGATGCAGATATAAACGCAGCGGACAACAGCGGTAAGACAGCGCTGCACTGGGCCGCTGCGGTGAACAACGTTGATGCTGTCAACGTATTATTGATGCATGGCGCAAATAGAGATGCGCAGGATGACAAGGTTAGTGACCTGTTTGTAGAGGTTCCTATTGTTTCAAATATTTGTAATATGTTTCGACCATTCTTCTTCGGTCGAACAATAACAATGTATGTTAGTTTGAGTAATACGTCCCTAGATGGCGTTAAACCGTTTTTAGCATGGACCAAGAGGACTGCTAATCTTCACACTACAGATCATCACTCTGAAAAAGGTCGAAATTCCGTCTTATATTTAAATAGCGCTAATCAATTGCCTGGAAGTAGTTTATATTATGTGAATGAACGTGGAAATCAATTAACTCCTCTTTAATATGACATATAAGAAGTCAGTTTTCTCCCAGGTAATATTATTCAAATATTGATTGTGAGTTATAATTATATCCTGAACTTTGACAAATATGCATAACGTTAATAGATGACGATGACATTGTGTGTTAGTAATTTAAAAATTAACGCTTCCTAATATCCTAAACCAAATGAAAGAAAAGCCGTGCCGGCTGTCAATAAAAATCTGTCCAGGGAATTATTGCCACCTTACCTATTTCAAGCGCCAAGCAGTAATGTCTTCTGTGTTCCGGTTTTGAAAGGTAAGGCTGCTGGTGAAATTACAGGCATATGGGACTTGTCAACTTATGTTTCAGGGTAACGGGCGCAGTGGTAGTGCCCTTCAATCTTTGCGAATTAAAGCTCTGAGTGGCACCGCAACTGTTATGGACAGGCGTGTATCTTACCATCAGGCGCACGACTAGTTCGTCCCGTTACTTGATATATTTGATTTTTTTGTTATCACTAGAAATTAGTGTAGCTTTAATTAATTGCAGCTCGTCAATGTAAAGCAAATTAGATACAAAAATAACTATTTGGTATTCGTCGCGACATCTGGTGTACAAATAGGTACTAGATATCCGACTACGCTGTCTTGTATGGTATAAGTCCATGGTATAAGTAACAAATATACGTTAATGTATCGTATATGTAACGAAGAGCATATATTAATTTCTTTTGCTTATTTACAGGACGAAACTCCGCTATTCCTAGGTGCAAGAGAAGGTTCCTTTGGTGCGTGCCGAGCACTTCTAGATGCGATGGCGAACCGTGAAATCACGGACCACATGGACCGATTGCCACGCGACGTGGCCCAAGAGAGAATGCACGATGACATAGTGAGGCTACTCGACGAGCATTGCCCAAGGCCGCCGCCACAGCATCACCATCTCATGCGTGAGTGTAATAATTTATTTGAAGAATTGTCTTATAACTTCGATACCTCCAACAAACACTACACCAACTTTACCTTTTGGTCAGTTTTTGTTATGTTTGTAAACAGCCATATTTAAAATCGCAGTATACGGGACGGGGACGGGAAGGAAACGGGCAAAATATCGTCGACGATGATAATTTGCACGTCCCGTCCCGTTCCTTTCGCGTTACACTTGAATACTATTTTTTTATATGTACCGATATTAACAATAAATCACGTTACGTATGCGGCGACCTTTATTTACTAATGTAATATATAATTTACTAATAAGTATATTATAATAATATATATAATACATATATTATGCTCTCCGAATTTTGTGAAAAAAAAAAAAAACAAAATAAAAACCTGAAAAAGTTCATTGGATGTATCGATTTATGTCCAATTATTTTTTAAGAAAAGGCAATGAATGTTACATAATGTTAACAGGATACATTTGTTTTCCGCTTTTTGAAATTGTATAACTGCCAATTCCCAAAATTTGACTTCATAATCAGCCATGTTTTTGTATAAAGATTCGTGCGTTTTAATTTCCTAATCCTATTCTATATTCAACGTTGTTTTCCATCCACAGCATCACCAAATCCTCACCCTCAGCTGATCAGTCAGCCGACAGTAATCAGCGCAAGCTCAGCGAAAGGCAAGCCGAAAAAGCCTCGCGCAAAAGCGGGCCCCGACAGCCCAGACCAGCATTACGACAATAACAATCTACACAGCACGGCTATTAGACGGTACGTTACATTTTTTTTTCAATTAGTATAATGACAGTTTATCGAGCAAAAGTGTTGCCAACTAGTGATTGCAGTCGATACGTATTCTATCGATTATCGCCTGAATAACTTGAATGGTCACACTTAAAAATATAAATGACGATACATAATACATAATAATCGACATCTTGAAAGTATGTCGATGTGATTTCGATAACCTGTGGATCAACTGTCAAAAGAAGAGAAGGAAGACTGCATTCTTACTAAATGGAAATTCTCGCAAGGTTGACCGTCCTTTGTGACAAGTCGTTGGCTTTCTAGAATAGCGACTTATATCAAAAACAGAATTTATCAGAAAGATGCTTTTGGAAACAAGAAATTTACAATTTTGGCTTGGGCCACCTTTGGATCTGCTCTCGTTCTCGTTCGACATTCGGTCCGAAACAATTACTGTCAAATAAGTAAGACTCGATTAAATAAAAAAACAATGTCCAGTATTAAGCTTCATTCGCATCATGCGTCTTCGGATGTTTCGGATGTATGTCGCTCAGAGAACCTTGTGGAGAGAAGCAAAAGCAGAGTTTTGTTTATGGTAATGCATTTTACATGATAAGGTTTTGTTGCTCTTTCTACAGGAAGCCGAGTGTAAAAAAGAATAATAAGAAGGTGGCGCAGGAAGTACCACAGAGCGTTGAGAGTCTGGGTTCCAGTCTCAGTCCAGTTGAATCACCGCTCCAAAATTTACAGGTAATAGGAATATTTATTTTATTGAATATCATTAGTAGTAGTAGCCACGGGTAGGCAACAGACGCTGGTTACAGTCCAGTCGGCGAAGAAATTTTCTTTTCGATCTTTGTATCAATAATACAAATTGTTTAATAGTTGTTGTTTTCGTCGTTATCGTAATAACTATAATGAAATTATTATCTTATTAATTAGGATTTCTTGATCTCTAAGACTGCAGAGATGACGATGACGAAGCAGTGTATCAGGTGCAATGGCAGAGTAAGTGTCAAGAGTCTACTTTGATGTATGTACAACTGTACCTCGGTAATCACTCACAAACTCGATTATTTTTCCGAAATAACGTTTGTTGGAATTTTCATTACACCGAAAACCGAATTATAACGAATTTGTTGTTCTTTCAGGATATGTTGTATGTTTATTGCAAAGACACGACTACCAAACCAAACTAACTACTAAAAACTAACCAAAGTTCGGTTAAGTTAGGTTTAAAAGAAAATACATTTTCCTCTCAAAATTACTTTCCGAGGTTATGAAAATTCGAGCAAACGCTATTTCTGGAAAATGTTATTTCGGACTTCTGATAGGTAACCATACCTCTAATGGTAGAGGTACAGTTGACTCATGGGAGTTTAATGAGATAGTTGTCGCTCGAGATCACATGAAGTACTTGAGAAGATTTATATGGCAAAATGTACAGCGCCATCTAGTGGACTTGAGAAGTAAAATTTTGCCCATAAACTTATGATGAAGGTACTGTTTGTGAAGTGGTAAGAGGGGGTCTACTCCATTTCTCCAACCGACATACGTCCGAAACGGACTCGACTAACTTACTCGTAAAAGACGCAAGATGCGAATGAATGTTCATACTTGACATTGTTTCTTGATTTGGTCGAGTATTACTTATTTGCCAGCAGTTGTTTCGGACGGAGAGTAAAACCCCAGCAACGAATAGATTAACTAATTGTGATATGTAATTTTGTGCAACAGGACTTGCCGTCGCCGTACGACGCGACGTCGCTGTACTCGAATGCGATGGCGCAGTTCGCGGGTATAGAGCAGCTCATGCAGCACAAGCAGCCGCCCAGCTATGAGGACTGCGTCAAGGTAGAACATCGTTTTACCGTGCTTAAGTCTAGGGTACGCTCAGACTATGAACTGCTCGTTGTTTTGCGTCTCGTGTGTTGAAATCCTCGCTACTCGCTTCGCTCGTGGTTCAATCTTCGAATCCTTCGCTTGCTTAGGTTTCAATACAAGCGCTGGCGTCAAATAACAACTTTGCAGCCTTGCGTAACAAATACCTATTGTTCCATGAGTTGATAATTCATCAGACTTTGCTTTCCTATAAAAATAAAAATATTTAAATAGATCGCAGCACTAACGTAAATACGTGTCCGAGGCAAAAGGGGGTAGGGGACGTAGAGGACGCTTGCCCGTTTCTACGTTACTATAGAAATACAGATCTACAAAGTGTCAGATAGTACAACAAAAGTCATGCAATAAAAGTTGTTGTTTATGATGTGAGTAACATTAGTCCTGCGAGGTTGTTTGTATTTTACAAAAAACCCCGTATAGATAACTCATAAAAAAAAAAACTTATTTAATAAGATAAGATCAAATGGTTATACTAAGTCGCCCAGAAATCTTTATCTTTTACACGTGAATGCGGTGACGCATTAATAATTTTTATTACGAGTATTGCATTTACATACCAATTAATCCATAGTCCAAATAAAACATGTTTATTTTTTTTTAAAGTGATAACTCTGTCAACAAGTTCCATTGCTTTTCTGTATTTTTTTTATTCAGGCCCAGTGCTTTCGTTCTTCGTCCATGCAATTGTCTGAAAGAGACGCACGATGCGAATGAAGCTTCATATTTCGACCCCTCCTACGTAAAGGATCGTATGTCGAAATTGCCAAGTTTACAGGGGAGTATTTTAAAGTTCTGAATTCGGTCGGTACTCACATAGAGTGATCATCTAATAGATCATCTAACCGATATCTAGAATTTTATAATATTCTATGTGATTAACGAGTTTTGCCGAATAAAATTGAGAAATGCTAAAGTCTCGTATTATGCTTATTTTAGTGAATTCAGACGTTTAAAACGCTCCCCTGTAAACTTGGCAATTTCGACATACGATACTTTACGTAGGAGGGGTCGACTTGACGTTGTCTTTTGAATTTGATCGAGTATTATTTATTTCACAGTAATTGTTTCGGACGTAGAACGTAAGTAGGCCCCCCAGTTCTTACTCCATCAAGCTAGTTTAATGCTGGTTGAGAATTATTATCACAATGACATCAGTGGCTGTGTTCACAGACGGGTCAGACGCTCCAACAGTCGTACGGCGGCGGCGCGCTGGGCGCGTCGCTGTCGCCGCCCTACTCCAATCACTCGCCCACTCATAGCAACCACACCACTTCACCACACGCTTATATCGGTACGTATCAATATTGCATCTATTCAATATGCCAAAAGTGGTAATTGTAAATAAGTCTTGGTAATTGTAATTTTTTTAAAGTTCCTGGTATTACATCTATTTGCCAAGTTTTATTGAAATCGGTTACCGGAAAGTGTGCGTAATTTGCCATCCTTAGAGGTGGAATATTGTCTTCAAATTTTAAATTGGACCAATACTGAGGTACCCTCTTTCCAACAAAAAAAGAATCATCTCGTAAATTACTTACAAAACAAAAGAAATACAGTCGATTTGAGAACTCCTCCTTTTTTGAAGTTGGTTAAAAAGTCGTGAAGAACTTTGATCCGGCTCGAAGGATCAGTGTATGTGTAATAAAAATATTTAAAAACTACGTATTTTCATTTAATTAAAATTTTTATTAAATTTTTTTCTTCACCTGTAAAGTCAATGTAAAGTTTTGAAAATTGAGATAGTACCGGTTGCCAGTTCACAGTCGAATCTGCTAGCATCTTTAGCTCTTGCAGGTATTCTCGATCTAAGACGTTTGAAATAAACATTGCAAATGATGATAAATGTATTCAAATGTATATTTACAAAGAGCAACCTCTAGAGTTTCTTGCTCATTCTTCTCAGGGGCATTTGCCTTACGAATACGCAGTAGAGTTTAATCAATAAGACGATTTCAAGTGTAATTTGTAATAAAAATTATGTGAGTTTGCTTTGTTCTGGGCGTATTGACTATGATATGTATAGCAAGCTTTGGGAATATACCGGTATAAGTTTATCAATCATCATGGTTATACAGTTTGAATCTTGAAAGATGCGACATACAGCTGGCATATTCCAGTTCAGTCCAGGTCCTTTATTTATTTATCTGTAATCTAAATATTTACTGTTTACGATTCGCAGGATCTCCCTCGCCGGGCAAGTCACGGCCGTCGCTGCCGACGTCGCCGGCGCACATGGCGGCACTACGCCATTCCCACCAACATCAACTCGACGCTGCCGCTTACTCTGCGCTCGCGCATCTTAGTGAGTATCGTAAGTGTTCAAGTATTTAGCGTTGTAGAATAACTTAAATTACTCAAAAAACTAGCCTGCTTCAATCTGTAATGTGATTGGTTCTAGTTTTAAATCGATATCCAACGTAATGTCTTGTGTTATGCACAGGCGCAAGTGGGCAGCACAACGCTCAGCTGCAGGCAGTGATGACGCACGCAGCAGCTCTCGGACAGGTTCAGGGCGCGCAGCATCCCGCCATTACCAACCTTATGTCGGGTAAGTATGGCTTTTTTAACAATCATCAAACACCTGCAATGTAGAGATCTATTATATAATAGTTACTAATTGTTACTACGTAACAGATATATGTCTCATCGAAAATCCCTAGGCTATAATAGCCTCACTACGAGGAAAAAGAAACCTAAGCACGCGCTCAGAGAGGTGAAAATAACATTGCCCGCCGTATGCAGTCGTGCGGAACCGAATGCAGGGGTTGTACTAGGATTGTAACATTACATAAATGAAAGACTTGTCTGAGCGTTTGTACTGTCGGCGATACACTCAGCGGTAGGCATTTATCGCGTAACCTCGAGCGAGTGACGGAACTGTGCTATAATGATGATTTTGTACTCAAATTTGAATTTGTCTCTATCCAACAGGTATCTACGGCGGCTGGGGTATAGGCGATACGTTCCCAACGCCGTCACCTGAGTCTTCCGACCATTGGTCGACCCCCTCACCGCAGACCCCCCTTACGCAATCCCCGCACTCCGATTGGTCGGATCGCGCCGCATTATCACCTAATGACATGCAACAGACTAATAAAGGAGCTACTGAAGCCATTTATATCTAGAAATTGGTCTCATAAGAGTTATTTTGTGGTGTTCGGTTTTGATTTGAAATTATCGTCAAAATGGTAGGTATTATATATAAAATATATATGAAACGAATTAGCGGATAGTAGATAAAGGTATCTTCTTCGTTCATAATTACGTAATGCTATAGTTGTGATTTTGTAAAAATAATACTCCATAACTCATCAAATATGTTTTTCATAATATTCAGTAATGTATTTGTAGATCAAATACTTTGTATAAATAGAAGAGCGGTTCCAATCTGGGCAATATGTGGTATTATTAAGGGACTACCGTAATTTAAGACAAAGTGCAGTTATTCTTGAAAAAGTTAGTATATTTCTATTGAAAATTATCAAAAAATTTTTTTAGTAGACCATTTCAATTAATTACTTAGACAGGTTATATAATTCCTTTATCTACTAATTCCAAAATTATAATGCGAACTACTGATAAAAGCAATAATTTCAAATATTATGACTTAGGCAAGACTGTAAAAGCTGTCAAAAAGCCTGTGTTAAAGTTTCAACGAACAAAACGCATGATCAAGACTCATAGAGTCATGAAATTACAAATGATATTAGAAAGCGCCTTGATATTAGAAATTAAAGTGCATAAAAATGCATTAGAATACGTAAATTAGATTCTAAACATGAATTTAAAAAAAAGAGTTAGAAAAACTCGAATAGAAAAGTGACGGGACAAACTCGAATAGAAAAGAGATGAATAAAAGCTCTAATTGTAAATCTCAAGGTGCTAAAGTGCCGTAGATATAGACTGATGTGTACAGCCATGACTCGATGTAATGTTAAAACATAGATAAGAATGCATCATGCACTAATAATCTCACTACTTGACAAGACTTCGGTGTATTTCGAACTTTTTAACACTGTACTATACGACAGATTATTTTTATAATTATTTAAATACAAGATAATACGTTCAAAGTTAGAATAAAGAAACTCGTGAATATATTTTAGTGTTTACGTGGTAAGTCACTAAACAATTATCACTTATACAGATTATAAGTTATACACATATCACTTATACACAATCAAACAGGTTTCTTAACATGATATTACTTTTTATTGTTACCTCGGATATTTTAGAGCGGTTTTACGACATATGGTCCAGACATTATGTCTACCCCCTTTTGATGTCGACGACTATCCACATCTCGATCTTTTCATGCATCAAAATGATCTGATATATCGAAGAAAATATAAAACGTGTTCTATAGTATAAGAATTCTATAAGTAGCGATGATGATAATTGCTCGTGGAAACATTATAATTTAACCTGTTAACTTGTCAGTTTAATGATTTTTTACGCGTACCGACGGTTATAAGTGAAATACACCGAAACTAACCCTCAGACAACTAATACGATATTGTTGTTTTGTTAAATGTTTTTTATTTACTTGTTTATATAAGACAATGTTTTCAATTAATTTTAAATGGGATTTTGTATCGCCTGAGATTGTTTTGCAGACGTGAACGGAAATTATTTATGTGTGATTCTTTAGCACCTAGCCTGTATTTTAATTGTAGATTTTTTTTGTTAAGACTAATTATAATATTAAGGTTTTATTTTAAATTATGTAAAAAATTAAGATTG